TCCGGTAGGAAATAAGCTGCGTTTTGTAATAAGCTCGATACTGATCAGCAATGTCCACGCCATTCATGTGATGGTTGTAGTCATCAACGCATCGAGGAATGGCAAAAACCTTGCGGAAAGAATCGCCAAATTGACGCCGTACGCTAGCTCCGTTCGTAGACGTAATCCTAGGCCGTTTTCGCTCACACGTCTGAAGCTCGTTGAAAGTTAGAATTTTCCATTTTCGTGCGTTTTTCGTTACAGCGTACGCATTAGTATTCATAACTAGCGAGCAGAGCATTTCAGGCTATACAAACCGCTGAAATATGGCGAGGGGGGAGCAATCTATTGTAGTAGCAGCTCCAGCAAAGACGCTAAAGCCCCCATGGGAAGCGTGCGTGTGGTGAAATGGCGTGTACACAGGGCGAGCGCTCGTGGTGTCTTCCATCCTTGTCCTTTCTCATCTCACTTTGCGACGATGGCCTTTTTTAGTCTGAGGGTGCCTTCGTTCGTGGCTCTTGAGGCGTCTATTTTACGCTATCTTGTGCTTTTTTTGTTGCATCCGGCTCAATGTGGGCTTTTGATTGGTAATTTCAAATTGCCACAAATCCAAGTGGTTTTCAAGAAAATGACCGATGATGCAAATTTGCATCACTCGGACACGAAGAGATAGTACCTACTTGCAGGGAAGAAAGTTATAAGCTTCCCCCTAAGCGTCCCATGAACCTCGGATTATCTATATGTCGGTCTTGGTATCCACTAATGCAAACTAACAAGCAAACAAGCAGCGTATCCGTGTGGCGTGGCACTCCGCGGCTTTGGGGTTCGATAATGGGGGCAAAATGATGTTTAACAGTGCAGTTAAGTACGATATGTTGACCAATTATTATTTAATATACAGAATACAGCATTCGGGGCCACCATTTCAATGATTTTACAAATATAGGTTGTTACTGTGCCCGATCAGCAGTACATTCGGCAGTTCTGAACAGTAGCTATATGTAAATTCCGTTTAGTCAGACAGCAGGGGCCTGTGGTTTTTGGCTTGTTTCCTTGTTCTACAGAAATATTTGACTTTCGTCCAATCAAGCACGCCAGGACTGTCTGATGGTTCAACAGATCCAGACGAACACTGTGTACCACATCAGTTTTGTGATGTAGGCCACATAAAAGAATTTTAGCCAATTGGGACCGTCTTCGCTGCGCTCGACAGCTAGTAGAATGCGTGGATTTGTGTCCCCTAACTAACCCTACCCCGTGATGGAATGATATACACGTTGTTCTAGTTGCATCCATTAATGTTTTATCACATGGATTTGTTTTATCACATGGATTTGTTTTATCACATGGATTTGTTTTATCACATGGATTCACTTGATATTTCTATTAAACGGGGTGAAAACACAATTTACGGACATGAGTTTATCCCAGTTGGGCTGTACGTTTACTTCGTACCGAAGCACTACCAATAGGTCTCTGGATTGTATATCCAAAGTCCTACTAAGGGTGCTTTGGATTTTATATCCATAGTACACGTGGCAATGGCGAAAATGCCCTGTAGGGTTCACCAAACGCAATGTTTCTGGTTTGCATTCACACTAGACGCTCCTCTATCTTCATTCCAGCTCATTCAGCTGAGTGTTTTTAGCACCACAGTCGGATCATTCGAGAAAGTAGATGTCTTCACTATACTAAGATCTTCAATAGCACTAATGAGTTCAAATGACCCTTTAGTGACTGGTGGTCGATGCAAGAATGATAGCGTCTTTAGCTTGAAAGTTATCCAGTGCCACACATACCATCCCGAAGACTAATAAGAATTGCCATCTTCGTTTTCACTAAAGAAAAAAATGTATCATGAACGAAACGCTTCGCCCGTTTTCGACTGGCTACTTGATTCTTGCCCCATATTCTTTCGCCACTGCCATTTTGCGTCTCGCCGCGTCGACTGCACTTTCGCCAGTACGATTTCGTCTCCGTCGCTTCCAAGTCATGCGCTCCCAGCGCCTCGCAGTGATTTTAGTACTCCTCGGGTTTCTTCAGCACGCTGCGGCGATCGTGCCTGATGTGTTCGCGTACTTCCTGGCGAACGAATGCGCACGTGTCCCTAACCGAGTCGACCTCGAATATGGCAAGGAATGCAACAATGGATGTGAGACGCGTAGCGATGTTGCCTGGAAATCGGTTTCTCACTCTTGCAGTGCTGATAATTATGAGGAAATCTTGTGGAACGTATTTGACGGTTCTTCTTTTTTGGTTCAAGAAGCCTACACCAATGACTGCGAAACTAGACTTGAAGCCACGTCTCTTCTCGCCTCAGGCTCCTGTGAGCAAGTTACCATGTACGTCGAAGAATGGGGGTATGCTCTATACGCTATTATCGATGCTAGTGAAATGACTTCAGTGCAATATTTCACTGATGAATATTGCGATTCACCCCTTGGCGAAACTGTTCCCCTGACGAAACTTATCAGCGCTCAAAACACAACAATCAATCCAGCAATTCTCAATACGAATAAGTGCGATGAGAACATGTATCGATGGAAGTACTGCAGCCGAACTTCACCTTGCAACTCTGTGAATTATGTTTCCGGCATATCAAGTGACGTCGGTAGCAACTCCAATACAACCAGCAGCGCCGGCAGCGCGAATCCTATAGCCACAGATGATCCTGACAAGAAGATCCTGCCAGCAGAATCTTCTGCGTCAAGCAACAACGTGGGTCTGATCGTGGGAATAGCAGGAGGAGTCTTAGCGGTGATTCTTCTGGTTCTCGCCGTTCTGTGTTACCGTCGACGATTAAACAGACTCGCCGGAGGAGTCTTTGCTGTGCTACTTGCGGTTCTCGCCTTTGTGCTTTATACAATCGCAGGAGGCATCTTTGTGGCGATACTTGTGGTTTTCACCTTTGTGTACTACCATCGACGATCAAGGAGTCTCGACAATACTGACCACGATACCAGTCAGAATGAATATCTGGATCAGTATACACCGGCAGCGGATCAGCAACAAACTCCTATCCTCGAATCGAGGTCCATTAACGAACCGCAAGGTCAATTTGGTCTATGGAATGACGATATTATCACGGCGAAAAGAATTTCTCGTCGAGATGTACAAATCCAGAATCTACTGAGTCGTGGGGCATTTGGAGAAGTGTATACAGGTGTCTTTAACAACAAGCGGGTTGCCGTGAAGATGTTATCTCCTGATATACGAGGAAATATGAGCCATGTAAACAACTTCCTGGCTGAGGCAAAGATGACTGCCAGTATGGATCACCCTCACATTGTACACTTTATTGGAGTTGCTTGGGACTCTCTCTCTGACTTGTTCGTCGTCATGGAGTATATGGAAGGTGGAGATCTCCGAACTCTACTCACCGAGTTCGAGACAGCCAACCGCCCTACTGGAATCGACCGAGAGAAAGCTACAATCGCTTTTCACGTGTGCCATGCTCTTGCATACATCCACTCGCTTTCGCCTCCAGTCATCCATCGAGACTTAAAATCTCGCAATATTCTGCTGAATCACGCGATGGAAGCTAAGTTGAGCGACTTTGGGATTTCTAGAGAACGCTTAAACCAAACCATGACAGCTGGGGTTGGGACGTCGTTGTGGATGGCACCGGAAGTGATGTTGGGGAAAAAATACGACGATAAGGCGGATATGTTCTCGTTTGGTGTGGTGTTGTCTGAATTAGATTTGCACACACTTCCGTATACTCAAGCGGAAGAAAAAAACCGTGACTTAAATGGTAGAAAACTCCCGGAAGCAGCCATTCTGCACCAAGTCGTCATGGGGACTTTGAGCGTAGATTTTTCGGAGGGTCCGTTGTCGATTGCTGAACTCGGAAGAGCCTGTGTGTCGGTGGATTCAACTTTACGCCCGACAGCAGCGGAAGCACTGTACAAACTGCAGATTGCACTAGCACAAGCAGGTTATTAACTGGACTTCTTCGGGACGCGCAAGTTTGAATCTTTCGACGATTGTAATCCTCTTGTTAGGGTGTTATGTAAGTTTCGGGTTGTACTCACGGAGTTGCTGAAATGAGGACAGAGTGCAAGAGTAAATATACACTACTTCATTTTTCAGTTTATTGTCTTGTCACAATCGTGTCACAACAATAATCGGTCTCCAACCACGAATCCATTGCTATCTGTCCGCATTCCATTACTGAATCTCACTTCTTGGGGTCTAGCGGCACTACCATACGGCTAGAAAATGCATCTGTAGTAACTGAAAGCGCAGCATTTCCAACGCTATTAAGCTATCACACAGCAGTAGAGCGCTTGGCTTCGCCCAAAACTCGTCGAATATAAAGCAGCATTCTTCACCAGTTCCGAGCAGCAGATGCATCGCACGATGCTGCTGCTCCGCTCGTTGTAAGGGGTATAAATAGAAAAGTCAGTATTACTAGTTGTTTGCAATTAAAAAAGGGGAAATGTCCAAAGGTGTATGAATTCGGCTGGTATGTGCTTAAGGTGTACAGTAAAATTATGTCTGTTCAGTGTGTGCGGTATCCACATGATATTTTTATGCCTAAGGAGGAATGAGTTTTTTTTTTTTTTTAATATCACGACTGGACGTGTATGTCGCCATTCACGAGAACCTCGTGATAGGGCCACCATCTCGTGCTTCTGGCGGGGAGTGGTGGTACTTCTGCTGATGGTGGTGGTTCTAGTGGGAGACCAGGAACCAGGACGGAGAGCTCCAGTACTGATACACACCTTCGGCTGCCACTTAGGCTGATACCTTTGGCCTGAAACTGAGAGCTCTGGTGCTGAGACGACTTGGACTCGGCAGACACCGAGAGTTCTGGCACAACTGGAAGCTCCTCGATCTCTCAGTTTACTCCCTGTGTGTTGGGCACGGATGGATCTTCAACTTGTGGGGTTCTTCCCCGGCCACGGTTCGGTATCGCGCATCTCCTTCAATAAGCTAAGAACATATTTTGGGATCTTTTGCACGAATGAAATTCGACGTTTTAAAGAGAACAGAACGAATGAAGTCTCTATAGGTTGTCGTCCTACCCGAGATGTTTATTGGAAAAGACATGAGAGCTTTACTTGGTGGCCTATGTTCTTGCGTTTACCATATGTAGTTGTGGAGTTGGTATTTACTGAAAAGGTCATCGTATTAGAATGACGAACTATTAACGCTCACTTTAAGAAGGCTCCTAAAGTTTGCACATGATGCAATACATTCTTTTGAATCGGTATGGGTATGCAGGTGTAAGCATAGATACCGATAAGGGTGGTTTGGCCCAATTCCAACCAAATTCATTCATCTTTGGATATTATCCCATAAAAATCGGATTATTGGTGCTATATACAATAATACAAAATGATTTTGTAACAATTTTTGCAATACAATTTACAGAAGTATGCACTTACGATTTTCAACCAACCTTCAACCTCAGTAAACCCACTTGTCCGGATATCTTGTAGTCTCTATGTTCTATACAGCATTCTAGACAAATTACTGATTGGGGAAGTTGCACGGTTCCGGTATAAAATTAATTGGTTAAGTTCGCACTATTCTCGAAATCGACAGAAAGATGATGATACCGCCTGCTGGAGTGTATTTTGGGGCACCTGATATAGATATGCTGAATTCGTATGACCCGGAATAACTTGATGTTAGCGTTCCACCGTGGACGTGCTGTCCTCGACGACTAGGTGTACAACCAGGGCTGCCGAAAATTGTATTGTAATCTATTGCACCTACCAAGAGAGAATAGATAACCGCCATCAGCTACTTAACATGAACGATAGATTATTGCACTAAGACAAACAATGAAATAGATAATCGATACAATGCAGCTTCATTGATCAATTATTGCACCACCTACTCCGAATTTTCGACGGTACGGGCGTCCCAGAAGATCTCATTCTGGCGCAAAAAGAGCAGCATCTCAAGCGTGTACGGCTGCAGCGAGTGTCGTTGCAGCCCGAACGTATTGCGAGCGACACTGAAGAAGCGCTCGGCAAGGTTTGAGGTCAGAGGAATCCGATCTAGCAGCTAGTAAGCTGGTTGGTGCTGTTCCAGGCGGCGGCGCTTTTGGAGGCGCTCTACGAATGAGCCTCCGGTCTCTGCGTCATCCCCCACATGCGCAGCTTGCGCGGCTGGGATGACGCGAAAAGCCTCCAGCGCCGACTTTTCACTCCGGGTTAAGCGCTGCCCTTGACCCTTCAGCACCTGGACACAGCCCGACTCAAAGTCTGGGCTGTGGACAATTTCAGCTGTTGGAGCTACATGCAAAAAAACAACGGTGTAAATTAACTGGACAAAATAATTAAAATCACAAAATCCCCGTTTGTACCTAGGTAGTTGGAATACGACTCCATCTTTGCGATGAGAGCGTCGAACCACACTCGCACATC